CAGGGGGAAGTTGTTTGCTGTGAGAGCGGTGAGGTGCTGGAACAGCTGCCCAGAGAGGCTGTGGATGGGCGTCCATCCCTGGAGGTGTTGGAGGCCAGGTTGGATGGGGCCCTGGGCAGCCTGGGCTGCTGTGAAATGTAGAGGTTGGTGGCTTTGTGGGGTCGGAGCTCCGTGATCCTCGAGGTCCCTTCCGACCCAAACTGTTCTGTGATTCTGTGAAATGGGTTTGGGGCTGCCAAGTCACACAGTGTGAAATAAAGGGAACTGAAGCTTGTTCAGAGCTGCTCAGACTGACCTCTGCCGCCGAGTCCTCCACGCCCCATGGCTCCACGCCCCATGGCTCCTCTGCCCGGCCCCCCGCGGCCCCGCAGCCCTCCTCTTCTCAGCCCCATCCTTGGGGCCATTCCTCGGCCTCCCCGCAGCAGGCCCTGACCTGCAACAGAGCAACGGAGCGTCACAGAACCCATCGCTTCTCAGAGCCAAGCAGTCAAAAAGACCGCCTTACAATCTGCCACAGCAGCAGCAGCCCACAGCACTGAACTGACCTCGCAGTGGGAGCCCTCCTCTCAGCAGAGCTCTGCCTCCCCGGCCCCCACGCATGGCTCCTCGTGGCAAACCTCTCTGCCCCATGGCCAGTCCTCTTCCCCCCATGGCCCCGCGGGCGATGGGGCCTGCAGGGCGGCCCAGCCGTGCCTGGATGTTGCTTTTACCGAGGCGTTGCTTCAAGCTCTTCTGGAATAGATCGTTAAACAACAGGAAAGTCATGCAGCAATCTGAGGACGGCAGCACAGAAAGCAAAGCAATTGCTTGTTGACAAGAAAAGGTTGGGTTTTTACTCTTAAAGCAGAGGGCTGCCAGCTCTCTGCAGTGTGTTCTCAAGCTTGAAATAGAAGGCAATCAAATGCACAGCTGCATTCCTCCTTATCAGAGATTAAGCCCTGAGCACTTAAGTATTCCAGCTACGTGGTGAAGCAGCACAACTGAGAACTTCCCAGTGCTCTCCCTGTGTGTAAGACAACGTACAGAAGTACACTGAACTTCTGCAGTCCAGTTGTGCAGTGCTGCAGTTGAAACACACTGCGTGGCTGCACTGTGCTGCCCTGCAGCTCCAATTCTTGCTCTACACAAACATTTTAAGCCAATCTTTCCAACTTTTTCATTTAAATGCAAACTTTAAAGCTTGAAACAGCCTGAAAACGAGCAGACCGTGCCAAAACAAGCCTGCTGCCCCTTCCCTATAGCTGTGGGGGAGCAGAGAGTTAAAAGCTAGAGGATTTGTTTAGATCTTCTGCTCTGCAGAGCGGGTTACTGCAACAAACACACCACAACCTGCAGCATTCCCCACTGAGATGAGGAATAAAGACACTTGCACAAGGAAAACAGAATGCTAGTCCTTAAACCCAGGCCTGCAGCCCAGCATTTGCAAGCCTCCAAGTATCAGTTTGGTTCATCTGGTCCTTGCAGCCAGCTGCTACCACGAGGGGGTGGAGGTGGGGATGGGAGCAGCCAGCCTCAGTGGGCTCTAAGGGCTGGAAACAACCTGCAGCAAGTGTTGCTGCAGCTACATTGAGAGATGAAGCACTCAGCAGATCCAGAAACCCAGAATGAGAACATTTCTCTGAAAAAATAGAGAGGAGATATGAACAGCCAGCAAGAAAAAAAAAAAAAAAAAAACACTCTCAGTAACATTAACCAGTAAGTTACTCAGCATGACTTATCCAAAGTGATAAATGCCACTTCCTGCAAGTCCCTTCATCAGTGCTCATCTTTAATTGTTGGGAATGTTTCTGCATATCCACCACACCCCAAAAAGCCATCAGCTTTTTCCCCCCTCACCTGCTTCAGCTTCAGAGCAGCCTGCACAGAAGGTCTGTTCTCCATCTGCTGGGCCAATCTTCTGTTTCTGGCACTGGCCAGCTGCTGCTGCTGCTGCATGGTAGCCCGAATATTCACTGGCATCGGCTGTTTGTTCTTCAGCATGTTAGTGAAGCTTCAAGGTCGAATAAAATGGGTGTTTAAATTAAGCTTTATTACATACATTTATTGGCATTTCATGGTTCTCAAGATTGGATCTCCAGATCCCGTGAACCTTTATGTAAAGAGTGGTACTTAGGTCACGGCATGTCATTACATATTCCTTGCTTTCCACAAGTGTGCAAGAACTGGAAACTCAGGAATGATGTTGTATATTAATTCAGGAGTGATCAAAGCTTTAGGTTACTGATTTTAGAAATGGAAGAAGGAATGGAAACAAGCGAGAAGCAGAGATGTTGATGACAGGTGGAAGAGGACGTCGCAGAGAAGCGGGGCGAAATCTGGCTGCAAAAGTTACTTCAGCCCTCGAAGAGCTGAGAAATCTGACTACAGCTCCACGTCATCACACAGGCTCAGAGAAAACTCTGCCCTGGGAATGGATTTCTGCACCCCTACCCCACCACAGCACTGCTGCCACCACCTGAGCATGCTCACTTGGTTCTGTCTGGTGCATTCTGTCTTTAAGAGCCACGTTGGAGCAGAACACACAGCAAGATGGTGAGCATCGTTACCAGCAACCCATCAGCTGCCTGTTGTGTCCCAGGGAAACACCTACAGGTGAGGAATTTGGACTGACCAGAAGCAACAAGGCCAGCAGCCTTCCCAGCACTGCACCTCAACACTTGCCTCCTCTGGAAGAAGCTCCAGCCATGGGCTCAGGTCAGCTCGTGCCAGAGCAGGAACTGCACAAAACAGCTCTATTCTTCCTCAACGATACCAACATCGTTAAACCAATTAGCAAGAAAGCAAAACGTAACCACAGCACTGCTGTTAGTTTGCACTGCAGAACTGCAAAAGCTTGATGGCATGGGAAAAAAAAAAAACAAAACAGGAGAATACTCAACAGAAAGGCAAAGAAATCAGCACTGAGAAAAGAGAGATGGAGATGAAGCAAAGCGTTTGCCTCTTACAAGGCCCAAAACGTTGTTACAGGGCCTTTGGGCTGGTGTAGCAGCCTGCTGCATGCCTCTTACAGGCCAGACCACATGCACGTGTGTCAGCCTAGGACAAAGCAGCAAGCCTGCTGCAGCTTTGGTAACACGTTACCATACTGCAGCATCAACTAGATAAATGTAAAAACATGTGGAAGAAAAAGGGAGGGCGTGGGGTTTCTCTCTTTTGGTACAACACATCCCGCCACATTTACGTGTTGAATGGCTTAATTTTAATTGCTATGGACAAATTGCTCGGAAACAATTGCCCTTTTAACCTTCTGTACCACATTTGTTGCAGACAGAGGTGCAATGCCATCTGCTCGTTTTAGTGAGGTTAAAAGAGGGCAGAAACCACGTTGGCTTTTTGGACACCGGACAGTGATAATTAAATACAAATTTTCTTATGAGCTGAAGCTGCTGTTGGCTTCCTCACCGCTCGTTCAGAGACATCTTGGTGGTGCTCTTTAGCACAACCTTCGGTGCTGACTGTGCAGCCATCTTCAGGTCAACAGAATCTGCAAAACACAAGAGCCAGGGTTAGCAAACAGCACTCAGATACTGCATTTATTCAACTGAACTCTCACAGACCTCAATCCCAGCTGCTTTGGTGAGGAAATCAATAACCAGGCAGGTAATTGCTAACACATGAGCACATTTTTCTACTGGTTTTTCTAGCCTGTTGCCATAGAATCACAGAATCAAGGCTCAGGTTGGAAAAGACCTTCAAGATCATCAAGTCCAGAAATACCATAATTTGCTAACGAAGCCAGTTGTAACTCATTAAGCTGCCTTCTGTTTAGAAAGCTGAAATTCTGCCTTAGGCAGGAGCAGTGCAAGAACACGGGCATCAAAATGGCACCCAACCATTCAGCGCTGCACCTCACGACTCCACCACAGCTCCAAAGCTCTTGGCTTCAGTAAGAAGGAAATCCAAACTGCCTTTAAACAGGCGCAAGTCCTGCGCTCTGCAATCAGACTCGAAGATCACTGAACAAAAAGTCACAATATCAAGGTGTTCAGATCCCATCGTTCTGTGCTGGGGGGCTGGACGTGCAGTTTGGATGCTCTGATAGCAGCAGAGCTGTGGGCTCTCATCCACACAGGCCTGCACTGCTTTCATAAAATCATCCCATGGTTCGAGTTGGAAGGGACCTTTAAGATCATTTAGTTCCAACCCCCTGCTGTAGGCAGGGATACTTCCCAACAAAGCAGGTTGCTCACAGCCCCATCAGCCTTCAGTGCTTCCAGGTAGGAGGCATCCACAGCCTCACTGGGCAAACTGTTCAAAAATGGACAACAAACAAGCTGAAAACAAAATTCCTTTTAGAAATCATTCTGGTTTTCTAAATATTCCCTTCATCTGACGCTGTCTTTTCGTTCAAATTCAAAATTAAAACAATACATCATTGGAAAGTAGAAAGATATGAACTTTTGTAAAACTGTTAAATATATAATAAAGATTTAACATCTTTTAACGCTCTGAAAAATGGAGCAAAACAACTCTCTGGTAATATATGCATAATTTTGGAAACAGCCTTTATTTCTACCTAAGGACTCTAAGAGAAGACCAAATAAAAATATAGACAGATATATACGTAATTAAAAATGTATTAATTCAGGTACGATTATTTCAAATGTTTGTTTTTTTTTTTTTTTCTTTTTTCTCAGGTACATAAAACACTGTGAAGTTCATAGGGATTCCAGTTCATGTTCACAGTAACAGAATTAAAGAATCACAGAACTGCAGGGATTTGTGGTGCTGACAGTACAAAGCTCACACCCATCATCACAGACCCATTTCTCCTTTTCTGCTCTTACCATCAAACCTAACGCTCAACTAACAGCCCAGAACTGCTCACCTCCACCATACAGGAAACAAAGCCTTCAGCTGACTGCATTTCACAGAACGGTTTGGGTCGAAAGGAACATTGAGGATCATCAAACTCCAACCCCACACTGCACGCAAAGCCACCACCTCCACATTTAACAGCAGCCCAGGCTGCCCAGGGCCCCATCCAACCTGGCCCTGAACACCTCCAGGGATGGATGCCCATCCACAGCCTCTCTGGGCAGCTGTTCCAGCACCTCACCGCTCTCACAGCAAACAACTTCCCCCTGACACCCAGCTGAAATCTGCCCTCCCTCAGTTCCAGCCATTTCCCTCGTCCTGCTCTCATCTCCCCTTCCCAAGAGCTGACTCCCCTCCTGTTTTTGGGCTCCCTTTAGTACTGCAGGCTGCAGTGATTCACCCCGCAGCTTCTCTTCTCCATGCTGAACAAGCCCAGCTCCCTCAGCCTGTCTTTGCAGGGAGGTGCTGAAGCCCTGCTCATCTCTGTGGCTCCTCTGGACCCTCTCCAACAGCTCCCTGTCCTTCTCGTCCTGGGACCCCCAGCCCTGGACGCAGTGCTGCAGATGGGGCCTCACGAGAGCAGAGCAGAGCGGGACAATCCCCTCCCTGTCCCTGCTGCCACCCCTCTGCTGCTGGAGCCCAGGATCCCATTTGCTTTCCCAGCTGTAATCACACCCTGCTGCCTCACGTTCAGCTTTCCACCCCTCAGTTCCCCCAGGTCCTTCTCTGCAGGGCTGCTCAAGGCCTGAACTCCTCTATCCTGATGTACAGCACAGCCCTCAGTCACAGCTGCTCGCCCCAAAATGCTTTGCCAGGCTCCCCTGGTCCCCCTCCAACAGCTCTGTACCAAGGTTTCTCAAACCACTTTTACCAAACCCCAAACCTTCCTGAAAGCAGGGAACGCTCGGCTGTTCCCTGAGTGGTGAGACGGGCTGAAGCCACGAACCCAAAACCACACAGCAGGCTGTCTGCCCAAGGACCAGCAGGAAACCGACCCAAAACCCACCGCACATCCCAATTTCTCGATTAAATACCGCAAACCACCATCCCACGAGCACAGCATCGAGCCGAGGCCGGGCCCAACCGATCCCAAAGAGCTGAGAGCCGTGAAGCAGCATCCAAACGACCCATCCCCCACCCCTCCCCTCCTCCCCCTCAGGACCTGAAGCGGCCCTGCGGCCTCCTCACAGCGCGGCCCCCCCACAAAAACGCCCCCGGCCCCCCCTCAGCCTCCAAACCGGCTTCTCACCGAAGCAGACGGTCGCCAGTTCTCCGGTGGGGCTGCCTGCTGCCTGTTAGCGGCTGTGGGGCCGGGGCTGAGCTCCGCCGCCCGCTCCCGCCGCACTCGAGCTCCCGCAACAAAATGGCGGCGGCGGTCGCAGCGCCCGCCTTCTTTCCGCCGCCCAGAGCGCAGCCGGCCAAAATGGCGGCGCGCAGGCGCAGTGAGGGGCGAGCACCGCGCTGCCCGCTATTGGGCGGACGCGATAGCCGTCCTTCTCTGCCATTGGTCAATCAATGCGCGGTGGGCGGGACTTTGGTTAGGGTGGGCGGGGCTCCGGCCGCGGCGTAGCTGCGCACGTGCGTGGCGCCGTGCGGGACGCTGCGCTGCGCGGCGGGTCGGGGCAGCGCGGTGCGGTTGGGCCGAGACGCGTGGAACGTCTCACGGTGCCTCCATCCGCCTCCGCCGCCCGGTTGGGCCTGTGGGCGTTGCGAAGCTCCGAGGCAGGCCGCGGGCCTGGCAGATGATGGCGCTGGCGGCCCTGCGCTGCTCGGTGCGGGATCAGAACCGGTTCCTCCCGCCCCGCCCGGCGCCGTGCCGCGCCGTGTTTCCATGGGAACGACGCCCCGCAGCCCCCACACAGCCCAACCCCCACGCGGGGCCGGGGTCACCTCCCCAGTGGTGCTGAGCCCCAGCACTGTGGGTCCGTGGGTGAGCCCAGAGCCGGCATCCCCCGTTTCCCCGGGGATGAAGGAGCTGACACGACGCTGCTGGTGGGATCGATGCCTTTATTGCTTAGCCAGGTCCCTGCGGGACCCCCGGGTGCACGAGGAGCAAAGGGTGGGCAGGGGGGGCGTGGGGGGAGGGGGGGGGTTCTGCTTTTGGGGGTGCCGTGGTTGGGTGCTGTGGGGCTGGAGCCCGGCTCAGGCGTTCTCCCAGAAGAAAGTGTTGCAGGCCACGGTGAGGGCAGCCACCAGAACCACGTACTCCTGGAAGTCCACCTCCCCGTCGCCGTTCTCGTCCAGATCCTGCATGATCTTCTCCACAGCCCCCGTGTCCTTCTGGGTCTGGGGAGGGGGACAGGGGTGAGCCCTGGGGGCTGGCAGCCCGCTGGGACGCCCCGTGTTTCCCCCAGCACGGTTCCTACCTCCAGGAAGCAGCCCAGCTCGCTCTGCAGCAGCTCCTTCAGCTCCTTCTTGCTCAGCTTGTACTTATCCCCCTCTTTGCCCGAGTAGTGGTGGAAGACGTTGATGAGGGTCTCCATGGCTCCTTCCAGCTGCGATGCCATGGCTCCGGCTGCGGGAGGCACCCGCTGTGTTACAGGGCCAACCCTGCAGTTCTCCCCCCAGCCCCATCCTGCAAGCACTGCCCGCCCCGCACCCCCCAACCAGATGCCACGCAGAACGCCATCGGCGAGGCTGTGGGGTGCCCCGCATCCCCCCTCCCCCCTTTTTAATGGGGTGCTGCTGCTGCGAACCCCCTCGCTGGTGTCAAACCACGGTGGGTTCCCGCGGTCCATCCGTCACCCGGCGCTCACCTGAGCTCCCCGCCGTGCCAAGTGCTGGGCTGGGCTGCCCAGGGATGTTAAATAAGCTCCAGGCCCCCTCCCTCCGGGAGGATCCGATACCAGGGCTGGACAGCCGGGCTGGCACCGCTGGGACGCCCCGCGCTGCCTTCGCTGGGGTTGGGATGTGAGGACACCCCTCTGGCCCCGCTGCTCACCCCACACCTGGAGGAGCACTTCCAGCCCTTGCAGTGCTTATGGGGCGCTTTGGGGTGCTCTGTGTCTCCCTTGTAACCTCACACATCCTTTTTTTGCCACCTCTGCGGCCCCGTGGGATGAGCAGCAGTGGGATGCTGGGGACGGGGTGGGCCGGCTCTGGGTCAGACCGTGACCCCGAATGTGACCCATTGGGCATCCCCCATCTGTCAGCACTGTGCTGCGGGATGGATCCGGCCCCATCCCTCCTTGGTGGCTGATGTGTGCGGGTATCCGGTGTCCTCGGTGCCGGCGGGGGGAACTGGCGGGGGCTATCGGGTGACGCAGCGCGGTCCCCCCGCTCCCTGCTCACAGAAAGGCCCTTGTCCCATTAAAAAAGCCCCACAATCCCTGCCCAAGGGTTGCCTCAGCAACGGTACGGCTAAAGAAACCAGATTCCTGGCCTTGCTGATAATCCTGGCTCTCGTTACCACCCAGCATCCGCGCCACCCGGCCGTGCCCGCTGCTCCTCCCCATCCCTGGGTGTCCTCCCCCCTTCCCCAGAGTGGTGTTGAGCCCCCAAAGCGGGGCAGCCACTGATGCAGGGGGCTGCTGGATGCTGGGCTGCGGTGTTTTCACAAGAGCTGGGTGGTGCCGGACTCTTTATCCCAGATTCCAACCCTAATTTGGGGCTAATTATATCCTGCTCCCTCCGTTTCCACTTTCCGCACTTCCTGTCTCTGTGGTTGAGAAATGCTGCAGTGTGGGGACCCCCAAAGCCAACATCCCCCCAGCTGTACCGCTGGGGGTCCTGAGCCTGTCCTGGGGATGCAGAGCTGGGGGGTGGGAGGTTTGGATTTGGGGTGAATTGCAGGATTCTGGGAGCTCTGCTGCTGTCCTGCAGCTGGAACAGCTGGGGTGGCTACAGAGGGGGTCTGGATGGAGGTGAGGAACCCAGATGGAACTGTGTGGATGCAGAGGTCTGGATGGAGAGGGTGGTCCTGGGGGAAAGCACAGGCACTGCGTCACTCCAGGACACGTTCCCTTTTTCCATTAGGACCCAGCAGCCAGCACGGGGCAGGAACAGAGCCCAGGGCATTGGGGGAAGGCTGTGCACAGCCCAACGTGGGGAGCAGACCCCGGTGTCACTCACGTGGCAGGTCGGTGTGGGGGGGTTGGCGGCGGTGGCACCTCCGTCCCCGTCTCAGCAGTGGGCAGAATGCGGCCGCCCCTTCCGGGACTGCCTGGCCCTGGCCCTGCATCGCCTGCACAGCTGCTGCAGGATTTCCCCGGGTGTAAAAATAACCCCCATCCCTGCAGCTCTTTGGCGCGGGTGGGTGATGGGAGCCAGGTGGTGGCCGTACAGCTCCCATCACTGCGCCGAGCTCAGTTGGGCTCTGCCCCACTTTTCTCAAACCCCAAACCTTCCCGAGAGCAGGGAATGCTCGGCTGTTCCCTGAGCGGTGGGATGGGCTGGAGCCACGACCCTAAATCACATCGGAAGGGGGTCTGTCCAAGGAATGGGACCGCAGCGGTGCCACCCGGCCTGTCCTCACTGGCAGCTCCCCAGAACATCTCTTACCAAACTGGGAGCAGCCAGGGACGTGCCAGGAGGTTTACACACAGCCTGGAACAGGTTTCAGCCTCTGCGACTCCCGTGCTCCACTTTGACCCAGCTAAACCAGTTGCTCCAGTTGCTGGTGCCGGGGCTGGGCTTGATCTTGTCTCTCCGATCCATTGCTGGAGCTTGGAAGAGGCTTTTCCATCCCTGGAGTCTGGGAGAGGAGAAGCTGCTGGGTGTGCGCTGTGCCGTGGTTGGGGACGTGGCGGTGGCACGTGGTCTGGTGGCCTTGTCCCATCACCTCGGTGGATGGGGTGGGCGATGAGTTTGGGACGGTGTCACAGCCCGCAGTGACCCTCCCTGGCGGAGCAGGACAGGCTGGGACAGCACCAGGATGTGGTGGTGGGCACCGACCCTACATCCAACCCCAAGCTTTCACCCCAGGACCTGCAGTCCCTGCGATGCTCACTCGTCCTGATAGCATTGGGGACCCTGAGGCCACCACTCCCCACATGTCCCCTCCCGGGGCCATGCAGCGTCCGCTCCCTCCTCACCCCATCCTGGCACCCCGAATTCCAGGGGTGACGAGTCACAGCCCGCCTGGCTTTGGGGCGCTGACTCACCCCCAATTTGTCCCCGTCCCTTCCGAGCCTGACTCACCCCAGCGGTTTCCCATCTCGGTCCCCTGACGTGGGGCTCAGCGGAAGGGCTGTCCCCGTCCCCCCGTCCCCCCGGGATGGGGACGGACCGGATGGAGCGCAGGAAGGCAATTCCTGCCCCGTGAGCTGGTGTGACGGGTGTGAGGGTGGGGATGGGCTGCCCGCTGCTGGAGTCACCCTGTCCCCATGGATGGGTGGAAAGAGTGCGTCAGGGTTGGTGACACTGCCCTGCTCCAGGTCCCCAAAATGGGTGGCTGTGGGGTCCCCGAGGGACGTCCCTGCATCCATACACAGCAGTGGTGGGGCTGCTCGCCCTGTCCTTGTCACACTTGTTTTGGGGACACCCCAAAAACCTCTGCCCTGGTAGGGACCGAGGTGGTCAGCAGTTAAGGGGATGCTGCTGTGCTGCTGCTGGGGAGGGTCCCTGTGTCCCCTCCATCCCGTGCCACCAGTGCTATGCCATGGGGACGGCTCAGGGCGCCGTGGGAATGGCTGTGCCACAGCGGAGCCGTGCTGGGGCTGCCGTACACCGCGATTACAGAGGAGTGCTTGGGCAGTTCCAACCTCCTAATTAATTTGGATTAATTAATTTTCACAAAGCCCACTATTAATAGGGGTGATGTCAGCCGGCGGTGAGTCACAACTCTCACTTGGAGAAGGGTGATCCCAGCCCCGGCTCTGCAGCCGGGATGAACCGCGGTGTTATGGGATCAATGGGACAAAGGGGGACAGCGTTCCCATCCCATATGTGTCCCCATTTCCATAAGAGCAAAGCAGAGCCTGGGAAGCACTGGGGGAAGGGGTGGGAGGGGGCACACACCTTGCACCCTACAACGATCTGGGTGGCTCAGTGCAGTGAGTGTGCCCTGGGACCCCACGGTTCACCCATAAGCCATCCCGTGTCCCCAGTGCCCGGTGCTGGCTGTGCACGGAGAGCTGCTGCCGTGTGGGGAGGGGACGGGAAGCTGCTGCTGGGCGGTGTCTGCAACGGGAAACCCAACGGGAAGCCCTGCACGGGGTTGAGGGACCACGCACTGCAATCCACCACTATAAGACCCCGCAGGGGGCTGCAGCTGACTGGGGTAAGTGGGATCACCGCCCCATCCCCACCCTCCAGCAGTGGCCATGGGGCCCCTTGGTGCCACCGTCCCCTTCCGGGTGTCAGCTGCTGCCCTTCCCCGTGGCACATGATGGCTGTGGGGGGGTCTTCATCCCCTCGGTGTGGAAGGGCAGCCCCCACTTCTGCAGGGCTGAGGCCACTCAAACTCGCTGCACCCTATGCTGGGAATGGTGGGGGTCCCCACGTCCCATTGGGCATCACCTCCCCCTCCCAGGACATTTCTCTCCCCATAGCCCCCATGGCTGCAGCTGAGCTGACCCCAGTGGAGATGGCCATCGAGACCGTCGTCACCGTGTTTGTCTCCCACACGAAGAAGGAGGGTCGGATGGGGACAATGACAGCCACCGCCTTCCAGGAGCTGCTACGGCTGCAGCTGCCCAATGTGATGAAGGTGAAGATGGGCTGCGGAGGGCTGGGGGTGGCGGTGGGGGTCCAGGTCTCTGTGGGGCACTCTGAGCTGTGGGGCTGTTCCCTGTGTCTGGGGATCTGTGAGAGTGGAAAAGCAAAAGTGAAAGCGTCTGGGAAGGGCTGAGGTGTTGCAGGTGGGGGGGCTGTGTGCTTCTGTGCTGGGGGGGACTGACAGCATCCATCTGTCCATCCGCCCCTCCTCTTTCCTCGGTCTGGGCTGTGGTGCTGCCCCTTGTGTGGTCCCTACCTGGGGACAGAGGTGTTCCCTGGTGGTGATGGCCATCTGTCCCCATGCCCTCCCTTTAGGATGTCCCCTCTCTGGAGGAGCAGATGCGGATGCTGGATGTGAGCACCGACCAGGAGCTGACGTTTGAAGAGTTCTGGCAGCTGATGGGAGAGTTGGTCCGGGCCCTGTGGAGGGAGAGGGAGGGGAGGAAGAAGTGATGGGGATGGGGGGGATGCTCATGAAGCAAAATAAAGAAGTTTTCATGGGCCTGGACATCGCTGCTATTCTTTGTGGAGCCCCCCGATGCAAGCAGCCCTGTGGTCCCACACCACAGAATCACAGAAACACTCAGGTTGGAAGAGACCTCCAAGATCATCCGATCCAACTGCCAACCTATCACTGCCATGCCTGCCAGCCGTGTCCCTCAGTGCCACATCCACACATTTCTTGAGCAGATCCTGCCATCTCCAAACTGCCTTTGTGCTGATTTGGATTGCAGGGTCCCACCTGCATCCCATGGACACAACAACGGGGTCACACAGAGCAGCAGGATGCACCCATGGCACTGCAGGGCTCAGCAGTGATGCTGTGGGTGGCAGCCACCTCCAGGCCACCTCTGCGGGGTCACCTGGGGATGGGACCCAGTGCATGGTGCATGGTACCCAGTGCATGGTGCATGGTACCCAGTGCTCAATGCATGGTATTTGGTGCATGGTGCATGGTACCTGGTGCTCAAAGCATGCTACCTGGTGCATGGTGCATGGTACCCAATGCTCAATGCATGGTACCTGTTGCCCATACCATATTACCTGGTGCATGGTACCCAAAGTATGGTACCCAGTGCATGGTGCAAGGTACCTGGTGCTCGGTGCATGGCACCCAGTGCATGGTGTATGGTACCTGGTGCCCATAGCATGGTGCCCAGTGCATGGTGCATGGTACCCAGTGCATGCTGCATGGTACCTGGTGCCCATAGCATGGTGCCCAGTGCATGGTGCATGGTACCCAATATTCAATGCATGGTACCTGGTGCCCAAAGCATGCTACCTGGTGCATGGTTCCTGGTACCTGGTGCCCAAAGCATGGTACCCAGTGCATGGTGTCTGCTACCTGGTTCCCGTTCCCACGCGGTGCTGCATGGCCGTGCCGGATGGGGAGCGCTCGGTGTGGCCGCGCAGGAGGCGTTTCCCAGCCCCACGCTGGCTGGAGGCCAGGCTCCCAAATGAGCCTCCTTGCACCACACCGTGCCGGGAGCTCCCACTCACACCTCCCCAGTATAAAACCCTGCAACAGCGCAGCGCGCGCACAGCCGGGACAGCCCTCGCAGCAGGTAAGTGGCCCGGCCCAAGCTGGGGGGGGGTTCCCCATGCCCAGGGGTCCACCACCACCACCCCCCCTCCCACGCTCGGCTCTGCCACGACTTGCAGGGACGCTCCCACCCCTGGGACGTGTTTCGGCAGCTCGGCGCATCCCAGGGCGTCTTCCTCGTCCCGACTCCGAAGGAGGGGAACGCTCCCCCAAAGCCAACGCTGATCGCGGCTCTCTCCTCCCCAACAGCACCCCAAGACCCCCCCGAGCAGAGGGACTGAAGACCCCACAGGAGGAGCAGCATGGGCCAGTGCAACTGCCGCAAGAAGCGCAAGGTCTGCGGGCGACGTCGGCACTGGGAGGGCTGGGAGCTGTGGGGTGTAGTGGGGGGACAATCTTGTCCCCATCCCTCGGAGCTCGGGGTGCTCTGAGCTGTGCAACCCCCCGGGATGAGTTTGGATTTGGGGTCTCCCCCCGGGATGAGTTTGGATTTGGAGATATTTCTTGGATTTGGGCAGACGGTGCTGGGAAAGTTTGGGGGTTTGGAGCTCCGTGCAGCCTCTCCGAGGATGGCAGAGTGCCCCCCTGTGCCCCTCGGACATGAGCGTGTGCCCACCTGCACCCCTGGGGGGGCACTGGGTGCTCTGCACCTGTGGAGGCCTCGGTGGGGGGTGGGGGCTCCCAAGATGACTGGTTTCTCCCTAATGGCCCCATCGCCTGATGTGGTTTCGGGGTGTTTCGAAGGGAAACCACAGCACCCCGTGAATCACCCTTGTTTCCCTTCCAATGCAGCTCCTGCTAATTAGCAGAGGGGTCGGGGAGTTGCCCCCCCGCCACTGGGATTAGGGTCTGCAGCCCTGTAGGGTGGGGATGGGTGGCCCCGTGATGGGCACTGACTCACAGCTCCACTGCCACTTGTGCAAAGAGAGGAAGAACCCGTCCTGCCCCACGCGGGGGTGTGCGCCTGGGGATGGGGCGGGGAGCGGTGAGGGGGACGGGGACACCGGGGGTCGTGTTGGGGTCCTGTGGGAGGGTGAAGGGTCACGGGAGCAGTGTGTGGGTATTTGGTCGTGCAGAGCGTGGTGGATGGGGTTCTGGATCTATATGGGGGGCCCTACGTCTGTAGGGGGGTCCCACATTTGGATGGAGGGATCATGCAGTGGGATGGGGGGGGTCCTGCATCTGTGCAGGGGGTCCTACAGTGATGTGAAGGGGCGTCGCAGCTGTATGAGGGTCTCAGATCTCTATAGAGAGGTCAGCACCTGGGGTCAGTACATGGGAGCCCACACCTGTGTGTGTGGGGGCTCACATCTGTGTGGGGGCTCACATCTGTGTGGGGGCTCACATCTGTGTGGAGGGCCGCTGTATCCATAAGGAAGGCCCATTGCATCAGTGTAGGGCGGTGGCACAGAGCATTAACACGTCTGCCACATCCCTCCTGGGGTTTCCCCTCCCTCCTGGGGTCCCCTCACTCCCTCACACCCCCCTCCCCATCCCCACCCTGCAGGACAGCCAGGAGCTCACCGATGTGGAGCGCGCCATCGAGACCGTCATCAACCAGTTCCACTGCTACGCTGTGAAAGGGCAGAAGGAGTACCTGACCCCCAACGAGATGCGGGAGCTGGTGGTGCAGAAGCTGCCCCATTTGGGGAAGGTGGGGGCACAGCTCGGGGATGGAGGGGGACTGGGGACCCCACTTCTTTGTCATCGCTCTGATGGTTTTTCTGCCTCTCCGCAGTGCGTTGGACCCCTGGATGAGAAGATCGAGTGCATGGGAGACCCTGATGAGGCCAAACTGGAGTTCGGGGAGTACTGGGACATGATGGGGGATGCAGCCAAGGGCTGTCGGAGGAAGTAGGGCCGGGGGGGGGTGGGAAGGCGCCGCTTCGGCCCCGCGCCACGAGGAGCTCCTCGGCCCCGCAGCGCCGCAGCGAGAGGGACTTTGCTCCTTTCCCCCAAACCCCTCCGATGTGGGGCTCCGGATCAGCACCGATGGCACCGTCAGTGGTTTGGGGGTGTTTTCTGCCCCCCCCTCTCCATCCTGGTGACCGCAGTCCCTGCACGGGTGTGGGGTCCCCGTGCCCCCTCTGATGGCTGCGCTCGGGGTGGGCCGGTGGCGGGATGTCAGCTGCTTGCGGCACATGCAACCGTTTTTGTATAAATTAATAAAGGAAAAATGGAACAAAACAACAGCTGGAATGGGACGGCCTTGCTCTGTCATGGGAAAAAGGGAGAGGGAGGGACGGGGCTGCGCTGCTGGGCTGCGCGTCCCACTGCAGAGCACGAGGGTGCGAGGTGCAACGGGGGGTGTGCACGTGCATGGGGTGCTGCCCGTGTGTGTGTGCAATGCTGCTGGTGTGCACGGCTCTGCAGGTGTGCACAGGGCTGCATGGGGTGAGCGTGCACGGGACGCTGCGCGGTGCTGCGGTGCGCGGTGCCCAACGTCTGTTGTTCCCACAGTGGGGACCCCACGGGAACAGCAGCACCTGAGCTGTTCGTGTGTGGCTCTATGGTGCTCATGTGCTGGGCTGGGGAGCTCTGGTGTTTCTGGGGTTGGGAAGGTGTGGGGTCAGTGGACAGGAGCTGGGATTTCTGTGTGAAATGCCATCTGGGATGGGGCGGCGGTTCCCACTGAGCTCTGTGTCCTGGAAGAGGCTGTGGATGGGGGTGGGATGGGGATGGGATGAGGATGGGATAAGAATGGAATGGGGATGGGTTGGGATGGGATGGAGTTGGGATAGGGAAGAGGATGGAGTTGAGATGGGGTTGGGAAGGGGATGAGGATGGAGTGGGATAGGGTTGGGATGGAGATGGGATGGGGACCTGATGAGTGCCACCTCCACACCTGCACTGGTGTGCACTTTGTGCTCTGGGGAGAATAAAAATAAGGATGAAAAACCCCAAAACCTGGAGAAAGGTGATGAAAGCGGGGCCAGACCGGGGCTCCTCCCGACACCGCCACCACGACTCGGCCGCGGCCGCCCTCTGTCTCCTCTCACCTTGGGGTGGATTTCACAACACGAATGACTATTTATTGTTCCTGCCTTGGAAATAAATACATGGAAATTAAGCCGAGAGGTGTGGTGTGCATTTAATTAGAGACAGGAAATGTGTCAAATGGTTGGGGTGATGGGAGGGGGAATGGGGATAAGGGGCTGTGGGGTGCTCTGTGGTGGGAGGGGGACCCCGGAGCTGGGTTTGGTGACCCCACTGCTGTCATGCGCTGTTGGTGATCCTGTGGTTTGAACCATCTTGATAAGGATCTTTGGGGCAGGAGGAGCTCAGCCCCATGGCTGGGCAATGGGTGAGCCTAAGGAGCACTGCAGGGGCACACTGAGGTGGGGGTCCAGGGGAAGAGGAGCTCACAGGGACGAAAGCAGCGTCTGGGAACTGCCGTGTGATGGGCCCTGATCCTCCATGCACACACCCTGGATGCCTTGTAAAAATACGGGCTGCGTTGTGACATCGGCCCGGCACGGGGTAATGAGGGCTGTGATTCAGAGTGAGCTGTCTGCCCGCGGGGCCGGGGAGGGCTCCCACCCGACGGGATTGCAGCACCGGCACTGCGCTCCTCCTCAACCTGAGATCAGGCAGAGGGGAGCAGAGATGACACACAATGCTTTTCCGGGGCTGGTGCCCCAAAAGCAGAGGTCCCCATGGAGCAGAGGAAGAAGCGTGGGCGTCTGCTGCCCGGCGCCGTGACCTCCTCTTTGCATCCCAAAATATGCAGCTCCGGTGTCTCCGTATCTGATCTGCGCATTGGATCGCCGCGCCATCGCTGCGCCGACGCGGGGTGCAATTTGCTGGCCTGGTTAATTATGGCTGTGAGCTCCTGGCACAGCCCTGCAGCGCATCGCCGGTCCCCGTGTGTCTGCGGAGGGCTGCGCACCCTTCACCATGAGCACTTTGGGTTCAGAGAGTCCCAACCCAACCAGATCGTTTCCAAAGTCCCTCGGGCTGAGTGGAGATGGAATGACCCCAATGGATGGGTTATGTGTTCGTGTCCCACTGCCACACTCGGTGCACAATGCTGTGTGTTCACCCATCTGCACCCTACTGGTGATACACAGCGGCGATGTGCAGTGGGTTATGTGAGAAAAAGAGGAAAAATGGGGGCAGAGGAAAAGAAAGAAGGAAGGGATGGGGGAGGAAGGTCAGAATCTCTGCCCCTTGGTGCCGGTTCTGGGTTGGTGACACCCAGCCAAGGGGTGCAAACTCAAGTATTGAGTCACGGTCCATTCTATCTGTGGCACAAAGAGGGCATTCCGTACCCGCACATGGGGTGGGAGTAGGTGCGATTCAGCATCTGTGCACACATGGAAGGGGAAGGGCAGCACGGATCCTTCCTCCATTGGGCCGGGCCGTACCCCATCGCTGCCACGTTGGCCCTTTGTGTCAGCGTCTCGCAGCAGAGGGGAACTCCGCACAGGGACAGCAGTGCCGTCCACCCCCCATGCATCCTGCACCCTCTTGGCAAGCACTTTTGGTTCCCTAATTCCAGCTGCGAGCTCCGCACGTGGTTTCCGTTCCTTCTTTGCTGCTAAGCAGTGCCCCAATGGTGGAGACCCTGAAGCCCTTTGGGAGATTTTCTGCAGGACCGTCGGGAGAGCGGCTCTCCCCACGTTGGTACGGGGAAGGGGTGGGATGGGGACCCCGGGTTGGCCCCGTGGGGTGGGCTCAGCGGCCCCACTGTGGTGTGTTGCAATCGGGGCTGCTTCCAGGTGAGCTGGGAACGCCCTGGGACGTCAGGGAGGGGCGGGAGCCTCCTTAAAGCCCTCGGGCCCACGGGATGGGCGCGAGGTGAGGGCGAGCGGGCGGCACTGCTCCCACGGCTCCACGGCCGACAGGAGGACAGACAGACACAGCGGGACGGGCGGACAGGTGAGGCGCTGCGCCCAGCGATGGGTGCTGCGGGGGGAACGCTCACCAGAACGTGTGGCTGCAGGCGGGGTGGAAATCCCCCCAACCCCTCCCCGAGCCCTTCAGCAGCTCCATGCATGCGGGGTCAGGCGGCGGATGGGGAGCTCAACAGGGGGTCTGTGGGGCTGTGGGATGGGGCCCTGGGAGGAGGAGAGGAGAGAGGAGAGAAGGGAATCATCATGGCGGCAGAAACAGGCAGGAGATCAGCGCTGTCTCACCCACCCATGTCCCAGTGCAGGAACAACATCCCCATGTCCCGGTGTGGGATGATATCCCCCCATCTCATCATGGAATGAGGTCCCTGTGCCCCACAATGGGATGATGTTCTGTGGCTCTGGGGGTGCACAGTGCTGTGAATCAGTGTTGGAGCAGAGCAGTGGGGCCCAGCGGGGTCTTTGGTTGGGACTGCTGCAGTTGTGGTGGTGTTTAACAGGATGAGCAGAGGACAGAGGTGAAGGTCAATGGGGGCTGCAGATCACAGAAGAACCTGCTGCCAGAACCAGGCCCTTCAATGGCCCCACAAAGGGCTGGGGACAGCTCATGAGCACACTGAGACACGATGGGGAGCACCTCGTGCCCTGTGCCACCACCCCAACATGCTTCCAAACCCTGCATGGAGCCGAAATGGGGAAGATGGGTGCAAATGTGGGGTGAAATTGGAGCGCGATTGGAGCACTGGGATGGCAGTGATCCACCATGGGGTGGCTCCAACTGTGACCCACAAATCAGCACTGCAAAAAACAGCATAGCTCTGTGCCTTGCTCAGCCCCATCCCTGCTCAGGAAGGAGCCGGGACCGGACGGCGTCGTTTCCGTCCCTGCCTGTGTGCATCCTGCTGGGATGTGGCCACCGGACCCCGTGACAGCAGCAGTCCATTGGGCACATCCATAGGAAGGGGCTCCATGGGAAAGGAATCCCGGTGTGGGGTGGCCGCGGGGCACAGCGGACGGACAGGGTAGGACTGTAGGGTTGGGGAACCCGTGGCTCGTGTGGCCCAGACCTATTTTGGGTGACGCCTCAACCGAGAGCCCCGCCGGGGTGTTCCCGAGCCGTGAAGCAAGAGGAGGGCCGGCCGGTAATTCCTGCCACTCCCTGCCCCATTCCAACCTAATGAGCCCTGGGAACCGGGCGCCGCGGTCCGGGCACTGCGGTGCCATAATTACCCCCATCCCACGCACCGGGGGCGGCCGCCCTGGGGGGCAGGTGGGGTGAGCAGTGCCATTTGGGGTGATACAGGGCACCGGGAGCTCAACTTTGGGATGGAAAATGCCTTTTTGGGGTAAAAAATGCTTTTTTGGGGTCACGTAGGGAGCCGGGCACCCACCTCTGTGCTTCCCTATGGGTTTCCCCAAGCAGAAGCCCCGCAAGTGCCCCAGCCCTGACTCCCCTCCATCCTGCAGGTGAACGTGGGGTGATGGCGGAGGGCACGGAGCTGGAGTGGGCTGTCCAGGTGCTGGTGAACAACTTTGACAAATATTCGAGCCGCTGCTGCTGCCGGAAGCCGCGGCGCATCAGCAAGAAGGATTTCCGCAAGATGCTGAGCTGTGAGCTCAACCACATGCTGACGGTGAGGCTGGGGGGACACGGGGATGGCTTCGGGGTCCCCACACATCTCCCCCCCATGGGTTCCCGGTGCCAATATCTCACTCTGCCCCGCAGGACACCGGGAACAGGCGTGCGGCCGACAAGCTGATCTGCGACCTGGATGAGAACAAGGATGGGCGCATCAGCTTCGAGGAGTACTGGACCTTGATAGGTGGCATCGCCAGCCCCATCGCCCACATCATCCGCCAGCAGGAGCAGAGCGTCAAGCTCACCAAGTAGCTGGGCTGGGCCCAACCCCCCCCAGACCCCGAGCTCAACTCCCGCTGCTCCACGGCCCCTCTGCTTTGTGCCCCTCCTGCCCAGGGCACGCAGACCCAAACATCGGAGCAGAGTGGCACGAGGTCACCACGGGAGACTCCTCCTGCCCCATCCCTGCCCTCATCCCCCCCCAGAGCTGGGCTGGAAGCACTGGGAAAGGCTTCCCCCTCACATAGGACACAAATGCTGTCCGTTCTCAGCCCACCCCAACCAGCATCCCCTGTGCCCTCAGAGCACCCTCTCCTCCTCAAAGTGTTGGAGTCTCCATGGGGTACCCCCCAACCCCCCCCGTCCCCTCCGGGGCTGGTGAAGGTCTGCCCTGCCCACCCCTGGGGCTGGGAGCTCCCGGCTGTGGCCGCGAGTTATTTATTGCAGCAATAAAATTTGGAGGAGCAGCGGGGTCACGGCGAGGATGGTGAATGCGATGGGGATGGGAGCATCGCGGGGGGGGAGGGGTCTTCCCTGTCCCCTAATGACGCTCAGCGTGTCACCACAAGATGTCACCACTGCCCGTGTCCGTGGGGCGCAGCCACGATGCGTCCCGGTATGGAGTCCCCATACGGGTCCCAAAGTGACCCATCCCGCAGCCCCACCTCTGCGTACCCCAATGGGACCCCCGGGCTCCAGCGAGCACAGAGGTGTCCCCTGAGTTCCCACAGGGACATCCCGTGCCTCCCCACATCCCCCAGCACAAAGGGGTGGCAGCACTTCGCACTGGGGGAGCTCCCACCCATCCCGAATTCCGCCCGCTCCGCACCACCGCCACGCAGCCTCCCGCTTTGCGCCGGGGATCCCGGTGGGTTTTGCGGGAGGAGGGGCGAGGGGGGGGATCCGTGGGAGCCGCCTGCGCTGAGTCAGTGCGCAGGAATCCCGCCGGGGCGCGGCGGGGCCGTGACTCACCGCGCTGCTCCGGGCCGGGCGCAGCGCAGCCGCTGTGCGGGATCGGGAACTGCGGCCGCCGGGTGCGGGGAACCCCACGCCTCCTTCCCGCTGCAGAGGGGCTACGGAATGCTCATCCCACCGGGTCCGGTGAGGGGACAGTGCCTCCCGTCCCCGTGTCCATGCGGAGGTCAGCTGTGCGCATCCCTTGGGAAGGAGGGGGTCGGTAAAGTTGCGCACCCCCCGCAACTTTAGGTCCACAGCCTACGGTCCCTGCGAGCAGCTCAGCAGTGCTGCACAGTGAGATGCTAGTGGGTGGAGGGGAGGGGAGAAAAAGACCCTGCCTCTCCTTGGGGGCCCGGGGGGGGGTATCCATCCTCCTGTGTCTGCTCATAGCGTATCTGGGGTCTGTGGGACCCCCCCAGCCCCAGGGATAAACACTGCCATAAACACAGCTCCAAAAAACTGTGAGACTCCAAGAAGAGCTCCAAATGTGTGCTCCCCATGTACACCCGACCCTGCAGGAGTGGGGAACACCACCAGAGCTCCCCCATCCCTGCACCCAGACCCAGCAAAGGCTCTGCGCATAGGCCACCACCACTGTCACCCTCACCAGCACTTGTCACTTGAGGGTGACAAGCACCAGCAGCCCATAGGTGAGCAAAGGGACAACAGGGCTGCCCCCGCAACCAGCGTGTTTCCCCACTCCCAGCACAGCTCTGGGGCTGGGAGTGGGCTCACACCCCTGCAAAGTGCTCCCCATGTGCCTAAAGCACACGTTCCCATCAATACCCACCTGTGCTGTGCATCTCACTCTGCCTCAGCTCACACTGCAATGACTGCTGCCACTGTCACCCATCCCTGGGCACTGGTTGGTGCTGGGGACACTGGAACCACTACCAGCACATTGAGTATGGTGGCTGAGCTCGGGACAGGGGCTGCTGCCTGATTTCTGCCCCATCCCCACGCTCACCCCCAGCCCTCTCCCCCCTCTTCCATTAATGGCATCATGCAGCTCAATGAGCAAAAATGGGGCGTGGGCGAAACCCAGGGCTGGGAACAGCCGGGGGCGAGGGGCTGCACCCCCCAACTGCCCTATAAACACCAGCACACAGTGACAGTGGCACCGACACCCTGGCTCCTGCTGTCCCTGCTCAGCATCGACCCCGGTGAGTCCCTTTTTGCCCTCAATTTACTCCACAGCTGCAATTTGGGGAGCAGATTCCGCACCCCAAAAGGCACGCATCCATCCAGGTGGGTCTCCCATGGTCACCCTGCTGTGTCCCCACGCAGGCGATGATGGCGTGTCCCTTGGAGCAGGCGTTGGCTGTGATGGTCTCCACCTTCCACAAATACTCGGGAAAGGAAGGGGACAAGTTCAAGCTGAGCAAAGCAGAGCTGAAGGAGCTGCTCACCAGGGAGCTGCCCGCTTTCGGCACTGTAAGTGCACGTAGGGACAGGTCACAGCCACAGCCTGGGGGGAGCAAAGCAGTCCTGGGGCTGTGCATGGGGTAGGAGGGGGGGGGCTGCGTGCTGCCCCATAGCCCACCAGAGGATGGACCCCATGCCTGGGGCTGGAGCAGACACAGACCTGTGGGGTATTGAGATGACACCGGCAGAGCGATGCTCCCATTTCAGTGCTTCTCTCTCCCCACATTTTTTTTCCTTCTGCCTATGGTTTGATTGCAGAGGGGGGGTGGAGTGGGGAAAACTTATGAATGAAGTGTCTGTGCAGCCCCAGCGCCTGCAGAGCTCCTAAATGCCACCTCCCTTGGGGGATGGCAGCTGGAAGAAAAAAAAGAAAAAAAACCCTCCTCTCACTATAAGAACGGAGGGAGCTGGGGGCTTCCATCCATCTCCCACACCCCAAACCTGCTGCCCCCACAGAAGCAGATGGATGAGGGGGAGTTCCGGCGCCTGATGAACGACCTGGACCACGACAAGGACAGCGAGGTGGACTTCAAGGAGTACGCCTGCTTCCTGGCCTGCGTGGCCATGGGGTACAACGAGTTCTTCCGCGATGCCCAACGGCCCCGCAAGAAGTGAATCCCACGCAGCACTGCGCAATAAAGTCCTCCCAGAGCCTCACGTGTGACTCACGCCTCCGTCTGTCTGTCTCTCTCTCTGGGATTTTCCACTCTGCAGCCCCCGGAGGCACTTTTGGAAAAGGCTCAGATCTGTCCCTGGGTGTAACGCTGAGATATCCGCTCTCTTCTCCCCTCCCCCCCCCAAATGTCACTGCTGTCCTAAGGAAGGGTTTGGGGCACAATGAGCTCGGAACACTGAGCCCCCCCATCTCAGCATGGGAGTGGGGAACCAGGCAGGAACGAGCAATTTGTGCAAGGAACACAGCCAAACCCACACACTGTGCTCTCATGGGGGGTAGGAAACATTGCTGGGTGCCCAGAGGGACCCTCAGCCCCTGGAGCTGAGGATGGGCCCATCCTGGGGGGTAGGAGATGACCCCAACCCCATCTTGCTGGGGGCAGCTCCCAGTATGCACAGTGCAGAGCAGAGCTGGGCTGCTCTTCCCCCCACCCCCCAGCACAGCTAGTCAGGGTTGGTTCATAGGGAGAACTGTAGCTGCTCCCATCTGGCCCCAAACCTACAAAACACAACTCTGTCACGGGGCAGAGCACCCCTAGCACAGCCCTCAGTAAGACCCTGAACATCATCATGTCCCCAAATCCTCATAGAGACCCCACATCCCATCATGTCCCCAGATCCTCATGGAGACCTCACATCCCATCATATCTCCAACCCCCCATGGAGACCCCAAATCCCCTCTTGCCCCCAAGCTTTGACAGAGACCCCACATCTCATCACATCCCCAAAGCCTTCTGGAGACCCCCCCCTTCCACAACTTCTCCCCACATCACTCCAAACCCTCCCCCATCCTCACCAGCAACTCTAAGCTTTGCCTTGCTCTATCCCATAAGCTTTAATAAGGAGCCCCAGGTGCTTCTGACCCCTCCCAGTAATTAACACCAGGTTGCACCTGCTCCCTAACGAGCTCCAAGCCTGGGGGGTCTCTTTTGCCCAAAGACATTTTGCTTTGTTCATTCCCACCCAGGACACTTGTTGTGGTGTTGGTGGGGTTTGGTGTCCCTGGTCCCCATCCCACAGCAGCTCCGTGGTCCTCACGCTCCCGGCCACGTGCGGGGCCACGCGGGCACCAAAATAGAGCCACGTTACACAACGGGGCGTTGGGAAACAGAAATGGCTCGCAGGTGGTTTGAGTTAAAAACAGAAAAAATAAAGGAAATCTCCAACCCCCAGCTTGGACCGATGCCGCTGGTGCTCGTGCCTCCTCTGACACCCTGACAGGCACTGCCAAATGCTTCGTCCCCCCATCAGTCCATGCCCTTCATCCAACCCCCCCCCAGGGGCACTTTCTCCCTTTTTGGACCCAACCCATCCCTGTGCTGAGATGGGAGGAGGCTCTGGGGGGGAAGTTGGAGCTGCCCGTGGGGGTTCCTCTCCATCTCCATCAGCCAATGCCTGGCCAACGCAGTGTTGGTTCCTCCTCATCCGTCCGGGGGGGCTTAAGGGGGGGTGGTGAGGCTATAAAGCAGCACATCCCAGTGCTTTGCCCTCACCCACCCTGCCTGGATCGCTGTGCTCCAGCTCTTGGTGAGTCACTTTGCCCACAGTTCTCTGGCCACCCCCCAGATGCTGTTAACCCCCCCCCGACAAGCACCAGAGGCTGCGCTCCCCTCTGCCAGCTGCTGCCCATTCTCCCCCTCCTCCCCCCCTCTTCTACAGCACTGCTTTTTTTGGGGTTGCTCACCCGGCCCCGCTGCTTGGGGGAATGGGGGGACGTGGTGATGCACGGGTGTGACACTGCACCGGGATCTGCCCTCAGCTGCCATCAGTGCCCCCAGACCCCCGGTGTCCCCATGTCGTGCCCCCTGGAGCAGGCGCTGGCCGTGATGGTCTCCACCTTCCACAAATACTCGGGGAAGGAGGGGGACAAGTTCAAGCTGAGCAAAGCGGAGCTGAAGGAGCTGCTCACCAGGGAGCTGCCCAGCTTCATCAGCGTGAGTGGGGTGTGGGGATGGGGCTGGGGGTCTCGTGGAGACCCTCGGTGCCAACTCTCCATCCCCATGCTCAGAAACGCACGGATGAAGCCGGATTCCAGAAGCTGATGAACAACCTGGACAGCAACAGGGACAGCGAGGTGGACTTCCATGAGTACGCCACGTTCCTGGCCTGCGTGGCTGTGATGTGCAACGACTTCTTCCAGGAGTACCCCGATAAAATGCCGCGCAAGAAGTGAGCAGGGGGGGTCAGCTGGGCTGTGTCACCCCCCGCTGTGATCTGAATGCTCTTCCAATAAAGATTGCTCCAAAGCCAGTCCTCTGTGTGAGCTGCAAGCGGGGTTCTTGTATGGGGTCAGTGTGCTATCATGCATGGGAAGTCTCCATTTCCCCTCCACGTGCGCTTGGCAGGTGCTGAAAGGTGACACAGAACAAAAAGGGTGGATTTGGGGTCTGGACTTTAGGGTCTGGACTTAAGGGTCTGGACTTTGGGGTTGGACTTTTGGGTTTGGAGTTTTGGGTCTGTAGTTTAGGGTCTGGACTTCTGGGTCTGGACTTGGGGCTGCGTGTGTGCCCATTCCCATGCACAGGAGCCACCCGCAGGCTTGTCCTCATGAGTCAGCGCTGCTGGCAGCACCCTGCCCCGCTTCTCCTGATCCGGAGCTCTCAGGGATCAACGGTTCCGATGGCACCACGATAACGGGGATGGTGAGCAACTTCCAGCCCTGGTGACGAAGCAATCACTGACCCCACAGCCGGGACCGCAGCTCCACCTTGGTGATGCCAAAGGGACCCGGTGGGATGTGCTCAGTGTGGGGGGCTGGGGGCTGTCCCCCCGTCCCCCTCCCACTGCTCCATGGGGCACCCAGGACCCATCCCCTATCCCAGTGAACCCCAGGGAGCGGCGTTTCGGTTGTATTCACACCCGGGGTGGGGTTATGGCGTGCAGAGGAGTGGCTTCACCTCACCCATGCACCCATCCAACCCCGGCCCCCCCCGGATGGGAGGACTCAGCCACAGCTATAAATGCACAAAGGAGCTGCGCACCGCAGCCCTCCCTTCCCCGCTCCCGGATCCTGCCCTGCTCCAGTGGTAAGTTTCCCTTTCCTCCTTCCTATTCCCTTTTCACCAAACCCCTGCGGCAGTCCCGGGGCTCTGTGCTGCTCTCCAGATGTGCAGAGTGCTCTCCAGATGTGGGGACCCTCCCGCCCCTGAAGGAAGCCAACAGCTTCCCCACGTCCTTTCCCATCTCAGGGCTGGCGAGGCAATGGGAACTGGAGACCTCAAAAAGGCTGCTTCTCATCCGCCCCACTCGTGCCCCCCTCTGCCCCCCATCCCAGCCCCCAGCAGCTCCCACAGCCCCGTGGCTGCGTGCGGAGGCGGCGGGCACTGCGCCCTATGAGTCAGCACAGCCACGGCCCCGATCTGTGCAACGCCCCGGCATGGGGGGGGACACGGAGCAGCCCCCCACCTTTGGGGCTGTGCTGAGCTGGGACCTCAGGAGCTGCGCCCCCCGCACCGGCCTAATGGGGGGGTTGGGGGCCGTGGGGGTTTGGGAGAGTTGGATTAGGGGTTCGGTGGGTGCTGAGCTCTGCCCTGGTTCACAGCCCAGCCCGCAGCCATGGCAGCACCTCTGGACCAAGCCATCGGGCTCCTGGTGGCCACTTTCCACAAGTATTCGGGCAAGGAGGGCGACAAGAACAGCCTGAGCAAGGGGGAGCTGAAGGAGCTGATCCAGAAGGAGCTGACCATCGGGCCGGTGAGTGCCCTGCAGCGATGCCAGCACTGCTGCACCAACAGGGACCAACTGCAGAGACGCACCCGGAAAACGGGCATGGGATGGGCAGGGTGGGAGGTGACACGAGGCGTGATGTCACTTGGGGGGGTGGCACAGCCCTGCCCCCCACACCTGCCCTTATGGGACACGGTGTGAACACCCGTGCTTTGCTGGGGGGGACGTGGGTTGGGGATGTGCTCGTGGCTGGGTTCTGCGGTGCCCCCCAGCCGTGGTCCCCCTTTCTGGGTAAGCACGGGGCCACACCCCCCCCGGCACCCCGATGGTTAATGGCTCTGTGCTCTCTGGGGCTGCAGAAACTGAAGGATGCTGAGATCGCGGGGCTGATGGAGGACCTGGACCGCAACAAAGACCAGGAGGTGAACTTCCAGGAATACGTCACCTTCCTGGGTGCCTTGGCCATGATCTACAACGAGGCCCTGTTGCAGTACAAGTAGGGCTGAGCTCCCCTCCCAATGGCCTCTAAGGGGTCCAATAAAACTTTTTGTAAAGATTTGCAGCTGTGTTTGTGGTTGTTGTTGAACTTCAGAGGAATTAAAGCCTCACAGATCAGTGGAGAACCTGGAGCTGTGTTCACATTGCAGGGGTGGGGGCACACTCTGTCCCCCCTATCAGCCCTCAGTCCTTTTGGGACCAGACTTGGAATTTTTTGCATCAGAACAGACACCACGCATGAAGAGCATCCCATCCTGTTGGCCCCGCTCATGCCCTGCTCCCACCCCGCTGCTGTTTTCCCATCTCCATTCCATCCCCACGGCACTGGGGCAGCAGCACCCAGCAAAGCAGCAGCGCAGTGGGCAGCAGAGGGCAGCCCGGGGCTCACAGTGTGTGCATGCACGTGTCCCTTCTCATCTGTCCCATGGGACATGTGCATCTCCTCCCACCCCCACGTGGCACAGCCGGGTCCCTTCGCACCTCCCCATGTGGCACATCTGTGTTCCTTCGCACCTTTCCAGGGTTGCACCTGTGTCACATCCCCATGCTGGTGCATTCGTGTCCCTGCATCCTGCCCAGACCGACACACAATTATCACCAGTTACTGCAAGAACTGCTGCTCCATCCCCACGCCAGCAGGGACCCCCTGTCAGGGAGGTGCACGCATCCTGCTCCTCATACAGACCGCTCTTTGTTTCACTCACCATTTTGCAATGCATGCTCCTCCTGGAACCAGTTCCTCGTGCTCCTGGAGAAGGAGGTGTGATGAGGAGCGGTTTCACCACCTCTGCCCTTCCCAACTCCAAAAATCCCTAATGGGCATCACGGGTTTTCTGCACTCCCAGGAGCACAGATTGGGCAAAGGGCTTCGGCACTGCAGGGTGGGGCTGCCCCAGGGGGCTCTCCCCTCCAACACACAAAGCATTCTGCTCCCAGCCCCACAACTGGGACCCTGTGGGGTCTTCACGAGCAGTGACACTGCCATGACCCCGGTAGGAGTGGCTGGCAGCGATTGCCAATGCCAATGCCAACAGTTGCTGTCATCAGACAGCAATCACTGCTGCTGGGAAGTGTCGTCTGGGAGGCTTCCAGCACTCAGCAAGTCCCAATCTGCAGCGGTTTGCCAGCTGCTGGGCCGGCTGCTTGGTGATTGACATGGGATGCTGACTGCTGACTGGTGGGATGCATCCCCCAGCAGCCCTGGGCAGGGGGCAACCATCACCATCCAGAACCAAGCATAAGGACAGACACCACATTCCCCTTGAACCACATCTACAGTGGTAAAAACCACCATCATCCCATGGAGACCCTCACCCACAACACCCCACACGCTCCAGAAAAATCCCACTTTCTTCATCTCCACCAAGAACCCAAATGGGGAGTCCCCTGTAGTGCCATCTCCATCCAGAGCAAGCATCAGGGCAGACACCACATCCCCGTTGGGATGAACCACATCTACAATGGTAAAAACCACCATCACCCCATGGAGGCCTTCACCCACAACACCCCACACGCTCCAGAAAAAATCCCACTTTCTTCATCTCCACCGGGAACCCCAAATGGGGAATCCCCTGCAGCACCACAGACCTGCTCTGCTGGCTCCTTGCAAAGCTCTCTTTCGGTGTTTCCTTGTTTTGCCCTAACGAGTTTGGTGCGTCCCTCCCTTGTTAACCGGCAGCAGTCGGTTCCTGGAGCTGGGCATGATCTGCCTCGTGGGTGTGCTGCGTGCCGCGCGGTGGCCTTGCACAATTCCTGGGGTTATCGTCCCAAAGTTATTTGAGGGTGTCACAAATCGTAGCTCAGGGAGAGTATAAAAGAGCCCTCGCTGCACCGCGCAGCCACCGCCGCTGCCGCTGCTCTCCTGCTCACATCGCTGTCGGAGGAACCCCACGACCACCTGTTGGTGAGTGGTTACCCCCAAGAGGAGCTCCTGGAGGGCTCTGCCTCTTCTGTAATGCTTGGCTGCTTTTGTTTCCCAGTGAGATGAAGACCGACCTGGAGCTCGCACTGGAGTGCGCCATCAACATCTACCACCACTACGCCATCCGGAACCCAATGGATGATTACCTGAGCCGGAATGAGTTTGCCATGCTGCTGAAGGAGAACGCCAAGCCCTTCCTCGCCGACACCGTGCCGGTGCGCTGCGCTGCTCAGCGTCCGTCTGTCTGTGGGAGCTCCATGGGTGGTGCTCTCCTGGGGCACGGGAGGGCTGAGACTCTGAAGGGGACGGGGGGTTGATGGAGCTCTCCTGAACTGGGCAATTTTGCATGGACCATTCCCAAAGTGGGGTCAGTGATGGAGGTGCTGGGAAGTGGGGAGCGCCGGGTTGGAGCTGTGGGGTTGTGGGGGACCCCACACCCTGACTCATTTTGTCCTCCTGCAGCCCAACACGACTGTTGATGAGTACATCAAGCAGCTCTTTGCCAAATCTGACAGCAACCACAACGGCCGCTTGAAGTTCACCGAGTTCCTCACCACGCTCAGCCTCGTGGCCATCGATGCCCACAACCGGTCCCACAAGAAGCCTGGAGAGCATGGCCATGACCATGGACATGGCCACAGCCACAGCCATGGCCATGGTCCCCACCATTAAGGCCGTTCCTGCAGAGCTGTGCTCCTCCAGCAGCAGCATCTCCCCCGTCTGCCCATGAGCACACAACCAAGGCTGCTCTCTCTGCTTCTGCCTATGACACTGAAATAAACTGTTTATCTCTATGCACCAAACATACCTGTGCTGTGTCCTGTGGTCTGGGGGGGGGAGGACATGCACCAGCCCAGCCTGCAGCCATGGGGGTCACACACAGACAGCATGTAGCAGCAATGGGACACGGGGACGTGGGAAGTGGGGGTGGCACAGGGCATCCCCATCCATCCTGCTGTTCCCTGGGGGGGAGCAGAGCTGCACACAGTCTGTGATGTGCTGGTTCATGTGGCTGTGTCCTGCAGTGTCCTCACCCCAGCAGGTCCCCACCAGCTCCCCTATCCCCTTGCACAGCAGTGCTTGGTCCCTGCACCCCACACCTCAGCACTGGGTGTCCTGAGCAGCCCCTCCTGCCCCTGTATGGGATCTCTGAATGCTGCTGAAACTCAGCTCAGCTGGTGACCCTGAGGTGGAGGTGATGCTTTTGCAGCCCACAAAGCAACCAGCAGTTTCCTGCAAGCCACAGTGTGGCAGAGGAGCAACAAATGATGCAGAGGGGCTCTGGGGATGCAGTGCTTCACAATGCAGCCTCGTGCTTTTGTCTGTGCAGGGCAGCAGCTCCTTGGAGTCCAGCAGCTCCATGTGCCACTGCCTGCTCATGGCGACCTGATCCAAAACCAGGATGGAGCTGTGCATTTGTGGGCAGTTGGCTTGGAGAGGGAAACCTCAGGCTTGGGGGGGGGACTTGGCAACACCAAGTTAGGGAAGGAAATGTGGGGCCGAGTGGTTGTTTGCACCCAGGGACGCCAGTCGTCGCTCTCCGACGCTGCAATTCAACCACTGGGGAGCAGCTCTTGTTCCCCAATTGGGTGCTGTCCCCCTCCAGGACATCACTGCAGATTTGGGGAGCATCACTGGGGTGGGTGGGAGTGGAGGACCCGCAGCCCTGCCCTGAGGGGACACAGCAAACACCGCCCAGCTGGCTGCTGGTGATGACAGGTGGGGAATGAGGATGCAATTTGGGACTGTCGAGAAGCCCTAATGACAGAAGGAAGATAAAGAAACAATCAAGTGAGTCAGGGATACCAGAATAAAAATCATGCAACAGATCTGGTTATTGCTCCCGGCTGCGAGAAGCGCCCTCCGAAAGCACCCTTTGTCTTTGTGTCCCCACCTCTTCCCAGAACCTCCTGTCTAATTTTTACATCTTCTCATTATCTTCATCCTTTCAGAACCTGCTGCTGTTGCAAAACCTCCAGTTGAAGCTCAGGGCAGTACAGACCATGACCCCGGATTTTTTTTTCCTTCCTTGAGCTCAGTTTCCTCCAAAGAACAGGAGGGGAGGTCTGGTGCTAGTGACATGAAAGTAGCAAATAATGGAAAATCACCTGGAAACCCAACCGTTGAATGAAGATAACATCTTTGCTTGTGTTCAACCAGTTGATAACGCAGAAAACGCGGGGCCTGCAACTGTGTCAAAAGCACGTCCACATCACTCTGAACATCCCATCTTTCTGCTATGTCGGTGTGGCAGAGGACAGAACGCTCAGCACGTGGCCAAACCCGCAGCTTCGGCGCATCGGCGCGGCGGGCTCCGCATTTCTGCCGATGTTTCCCCATTCTTTGTCCTGACGTGGGGGTGGCAGGACAGCATTTCTGAAGCCCGGTGGGTGCAACCAGGAACCGAGATGGGGACAGACTTAGAGGTCCCACCTCGCAATTTCCAGGTGTGGGAAATGCTAATTCAAGCTGTTGCTTGTACCAGGTGTGTCACTGCCTCTGATGAAAGAGATCCTCGGGTGCATATAAAGGGCTGTCCAGGTGCTGGGATCACTACAACAGACCCATCCTCTGCAAACCTCTTCGCAGACAAGGGTGAGTGGCATTGCAGGGATTCCTGCAGCAGGTAGGGGGATGAGGGTGAAGTGATTTTGTGTATCGCTTCGTATCACGCCTGTGTTGTTCCGGAGCTGCGTTTCCCCCTTTGGGGTGGTGGGTTAATATCACTTGATGGCATTTCTGTGCCACTGTTAGCAGGGATGGAGATGTTTCTGCTTTGGGGTGGCACCCGTTGAGAGCAGCACAACCTGGGGGTGCCTGGCAGCATGGTGTGGGGTGCTTGGCTTCGTCCCCTGATGGCCCCAAACTCTGTCTGCAGGTATCCCACCATGTCCACGCACACCACCATCCCACCATCCAAGGACCAGCAATTTCCAGGGAACTGCACTCTGGAAAAGGCCCTGGAAGCCATCGTGAACATCTTCCACCAGTACAGCATCCGTGAGGGTCAGCTGGACCTCCTCAACTTCAATGATTTCCAGACACTGCTGAATGAGCAGGCACCCAACTTCCTGAAAGTCTGCGTGAGTGTCCTGGGGGGGGGGGGGCACAGCTGAGCTGGTCTTGGGGGTGCATCGGTGGGAATGGGGTGCAAACATCCCTAAGGGCTGTGGTCCATCAGACCCAGCGCAGCCATGCACTGTGGGACCACCTGTGCTCATAGAATGGCTTAGGTTGCATCCACTACAGAATGCCTT